GTGTTTTGATATTTTGTTAATTTATTTTATAATAATTGTGACATTTTTGATGACTTCTGATTTATTTTGTTTTAAAAAATAATTGTTAAACTTTTCATTTTTTTAATGAAATTTGTCATTTATTGTCATTTTTTGCCATTTACCCGGTCAAAGTACCGTCATTTTTTTCAATTTTTAAGAAAATTTTTGCTTGACACACTGCAAATTGTAAAAACCCTTAAGTTCATAGGATTTTATCCTTAAGTTCATAGGATTTTTGTTATTTCACCTTTAGATCTTGTTTTCTCCAAGTATATACATATAATATATATAGAAAACTTGTGACTGTTGTGTTGTTTCTTCTTACAATAAACTAACCTTATTATTTGGCAACTAAATTTTCTCTTCTATTTATAATGTATTTTTTAAGAAAACTTTAAGCGAAAAAATGTTTTTTTTTACAATAATTAAAAAAAGGAATCGACTAAAGCCTTTATATATTATCGACCTTGTTTTTGTTTTTCTATTACTATTTTTGCATTGATTGTAATAAATTAAGAAGTTTTAATCAAGGAAGAAGAGAATATAATACTCTTTAAAACATCAAAAGTATACAATACTTTTTAAAATATAAAGTGAAATTATATATATAAAGATCGCTCTCTACTCGGATTTATGAACTTATTTTTCAAAATAACTAATGAGACACTCTCAAGCTCGATATAAGGGAAATTAACGAGAATAAAATCGGCATATAAAATCGTTTTGTTTTATCTGTTTTTGTTAGAGTAAATGCTTACTCAACAGTTTTGTGAGGCTTTTGTAAATCTCTAAATCACATTTGTAAATCGACTTTTACCATGTAATTAATCTGCTTATTTAAGGGCGCCAAAAAATTAGACGTCTTTTCTTTTTGAGTAATTATTAACCTAAGCAACATAGTAACTTTTAATCTTGTTAAAAATTAACAAAATGAATGTTTCGAGGTAAAAAAAAAAGTTTGGTAAAAATAGATATTTATTTCTTATACAACTACATACTGAATGTATCAATAACTTTTCGGTCTTAATGAGTACTTTGTAGTTCCGAAACATCTACAAAATGTTAAAACTTCGTAGATCTTAATTTTATTGAGCTTTACGTCTTTTTTTTATTGGGCGTTACAGTTAACTATTTGATGTTCTGTAATTTTCTAGATACAATAACAATTAGTTCGTTTTTTTAGATATGTAACCTAGACAAAATGTAACTAGTCAAAATGTTAATTTACGGGAGTAGCTGTTGTTTTGAGTTTTTTTATTTGTTTTTTCTTGTTCAAAACTAACTTATGTTGTTAATGTTTTATTTAGCCGAAAAATACTTTTTGTGGGCGGCCCAAAAAACAAAAGAAAGATGTTTACTGTATCATGCTGTATCATACAATTAATAGCAACCCCTCAATAAGTCTAGAACGAATGTTTACAAGATAGTTTAGATACAATATAACTGCTTTATTAAACAAAAAACTGCTATCAAACAGATTTTGTTTTGATGTCGTAGTTTAATTCATAGGTGCAATTTAAACTTCTTCTTTGGTTAAAAAGCGACGAGTATCCAGTACAACCTTGAAACTAACCGATTACCCAAGCTTTGATGATAAAAAATGTAATAACAAACTATATCAGGATCGCCCTCTATGACAAATATTATTATTCAAATTTCATATTTTTACTATAAGCGACGATGCCTTTACGTGAGTATTTTACACCAATCATGTTTTAGTCATGACTATAACTTTCAATGCAACTATTTTAATGTTTGTTTGTTTTTTTGACACATCCGTTGCTTAACACAATGAGAGAACTCCTTGTAACAAAGGTTTTTTTTCTTTTTCAAGATAATGAAATCATTCAGTTTTGTAGTGCAGTCATGAGTTCTAACCGTTTTACAAATTATTAGGCGTCCCAAGGTGAAATAAAATGATGGTTAAAATTTCTGAAGTTGTAACTGTGCAGTTTATAAGATATAACTCTTTAAAGTTTTTAATTTTTAATTTTATCTTGCGTTTCAATTTCATTACGCCATATTTTTTCTGGTCGATTTAATGTTTGTGTATTTTACAGAAGACCATAAGAAAAGATTATACAGAAGACCATAAGTAAACTTTGAAAACTGTTTAAAAATATATTTCATAAATAACACATCAACAATAATTTGAATTCCATAAACAAAATGTCAGCAGAGTGCCAAACCTTTGTGTCTGATCTAGACATCTATCTCACTCTCAACGATTTTATATTTCTTAATAATTTGCCGAACAATTTTAACAATTTTTGCCGGTAGCAATAATAAGAATAACAACACATGTGCATTGTTCGATTGAGTTATTATTTGTTTCTAAAATCAATCAGTATATATCAGTATCTTTCACCCAAAAATTACAATTTCGTGTTGACTTGCTAAATAAAATCACTCATCGATATATTATTTCTGAATGGTAATATTGCCTTTGATACAATTAACTCCTTTAATTGATATATATATATATATATATATATATATATATATATATATATATATATATATATATATATATATATATATATATATATATATATATGTATATATATATATATATATATATATATATATGTATATATATATATGTATATATATATATATATATATATATATATATATAGTATATATATATATATATATATATGTATATATATATATATATATATGTATATATATATATATGTATATATATATATATATATATATATATATATATGTACATATTATATATATATATATATATATATATATATATATATATATATATATATATATATATATATATATATATATATATATATGCTGTTGATTTTTGTGCAAATAAATTGAAAAATTCAATATTGTGGACAAACTGTCATGTTTATTCAGTTTATGGATAAAAGTTTTAATTTACTAAACAGTCATAATTATCTTGGTAAAAATAATAAAACTCATATTTCCTCAAACATTTAGAAATAAAGTGCAAATTTTGTTAATCAGTATGCCAGTAGTCTTGTTAGACAGAGAGCGCTGATAACTTAATTTATAAAGCAAACCAAAACTCTGGCTTAATTGGATTTTTTTAGCCTTTTTAGTTTTTTTTAGTTTTTTATCTTAGTTGATACTTGATTTTATTTCTAGAAAACCTGTTCAATTTATTTTTGACTTACAAACTCAAAATGCAATGCTCTTCAGTGCTGTTAAAAGTCAAGGAGGTTGTAATAATAGTTTTCCATTTGCAAAATAGTTTATGACAACTTATTGGCGTTATTTAGTACGATACTTAATACAAAACATAAAAATTTCGAATTGTTCAGCTCAGGATGGTAGATGAATAATTTTCGTAAGAACAAGAGGAATTGTGAATCATCAGGAATATAAATAAATAATGACGGTAAACTTTTTTTATAGCTAATGACGATATTACCCTAGTAGGTATTATGGAACCATGACAACTGTCTAAATATTCTGAAGAAGTGATAAAATATGGTGAAATTGTTAGAAGAAAACTAAAAAGATATAATAAAAGTAACGCATCTACATCTCTAAAATTTTTACTTGTTAATCTCATTGTAATACTAAAATAAAAAGACAAAGATTTCTAGCCATATTAAAAATCAAAGAAAATTAAATACCCTCTTCAATTTGAGGGGGTTGCAAATTTTATATTGTTATAATTTTTGAACGCTGAAATATTTTACTAAGAAATTTAAAATTTATTGATAAATATAAGTCTAGTTAAAAATAGTACAAAACATATTTAATCAACTTGTTGCTCTCACGTTTGGGGCAGGGGCAGCAAAAATTTTGGGGCTTTTTTTGTTCTCAAGCTCCAATCATCGCAATTTTTTTGCAAAGCATCCTTATTTGACATAAGTATAAACATATGAATGTTTAGAGTTTGCTCCATGTCTGGAAGTTAGATACCTTGAAAACCAAAAAATGCTGGATACGGACCTGGTAAGTGTGCACTTTTTAAATAAATTAAAATTTACTTGGCTTCACTTGTTTATGTTAAGTTTTTTATTATGGTTAACTATTAGTTAAAAAATAATAACTTTAGTTTATAAAAAATGATTATACAGCAACCAATGCGCAGTGGTTAGCTCTTGCTTTAGTAGAGCGCTTGCTTTAGAAGCAATAGACCTAGGGTTTGAAGCAAGCTTTAGGCATATTTCACACCATCTGTAAGAAAAAAGATTTGAACTTTCTAGTTTAATACTTTTCTGATGTACTCTGTGGCATAACCAATAGGTTTTCTCGGAACATTTAAAGCAAAATGGATTTTTTAATAAAATTTAAAAAGTTCTTTAAAGTTCTTTTTCAATTAAATGTTTTTTTTAAATCCAAGGTCGACTTTCAGTTAAATTCGGTTTAGAGGTCCAAATTCGTCTTTCAGTTAAATTCGGGCAACATATACGGTTTAAATTCGACTTTCAGTTAAATTCGGTATACGCATATAATCTAAATTCGTCTTTCATATAAATTCGAGTCTTAAAAAGTCGACTTTGCCGGTCCCTAATGTCTACTATCAAAATACAATTTAATGAAAGCAATAATTATTTTTGTATTTACCATCGCTACACATAAACGCTCTATATTTGAACTTGATTATTTATGATAAAACAAAAATACAAATTCAGTTGAAAATAAATGGAAATATATATTTCAATAAAATATTAATTATGAAGACTAGTAAGATCCCACTAATTTCACTTTGCAGGCTTTCTTCTTTGCGAAATTAGAGATGAAGTTTTCGCACGATAATGTCTTAGCAATGTCGTTTTCAATTGAAATCACCATAAGGTTAGTAAGGCGGTCTTCAGTCATTACTGATCGCAATTTAGATTTGACGAAAGCAAGCTTACTGAAATAGTACTCTCCTTCAGCCAATGAAACCCGGATTGTATTAAAATGCAAAGCAAAATGCAAATCGAAGGAAATATTGACTGAAGACCTTCTAGTAGATTCTGTTGAGCAACTTGATAGAAGAAAGAGATTCTATTTGTCCAAAAGTATTTGATCGCTTTAAAACATCTCGATGACGAATTTCTTCAATCAACTCCTCCTCTTTTACATCTTTTACATCTTTTACATAGAGATTTGCTAGGACTTTGCATTTTTCTTTCTGACAAAGTTTTTCTTCATCACTAGAAAGAGATGAAAAACACCATATGAATTAAAACACATCTGTCGTCTTTTGAGCTATACCCATTCTGTATCTTATTTGCTGGAGCAGCCTGTTAAGAACAACATTAAATACGTTCATCTCAAAACCCTTTGATTCTTCTTCGTGAAAGTGGGCTGTGTTCATCAACTCGCCGTAAAGCGTTTTTCTTTTCCTTGTCCTTTTCTTAACAAAATCATTTTGAAACCCAAAACAAAACCATTTTGAAACCCAAGCGAAGCTAACCCAGAAACAACCTATTTTACTTCTAGGAGGATTTGTGGCCAAGAAGAACGTAATCGGTCAAGATAGTTAATTACAGTATTTAAAAACTTTGTCTCGTCATCCAAAGAAATGCTATCTGATTGAAGAAGGAACCAGACATTGTTGACACATAGGAGAGCCTTGAACCTGAAAGAAGTTAAGACAATGAATTCAATTGAGTGAATCCATCAACTAACTTTGTAAAGTGCCTTTACAAAGTTAGTTGATGATCTTCAAAATCAAGTTCTTCAAGAAGTTTCAAGGACTTCAGTATTTCTTTTAGTATTTTCGACAATGGCCGGACAGCCTCTATGCGCGCACTCCATCTTATTTACGAAGTTTAATGAGAGGACTGTCTAGTGTCTCAGTCAAAATTTCTCAGTCAAAATTTCGAGAATGATGGCCTGCACTCCTTTGTATACACCGGTTAAATTAACCCCGTTAAAATAGCCCTGAACCCTACAGTTCTTTAAATCAATTCGGCTTTAATGCAAAATGTCATTAATCAGCTTCGCAATGCCAGAACCTTTTTTTTCTCCAGACTCACCAGTTTTTTTTTCTCCAGATTCTCCAAATTTTATACTTTCAGAAAACTTTTACTATCCATTGATTTTCAGATCCTAGGCCGACAAATCAAAGAACAAAAGTGGTTTGTTCCGTATGAGACACGACCGAAGTTTCATCAACAATAATGAGAAAACAAATGGCTATATGGACCTTTTCAAAAATAAAAGCGAAAACAGTTTCACCACATGCCATAATGATCTCATTTTGAGTTTTCCAGCTCAAATATTGCGCTCACCTTCTTGTTCCTTGTTTTTGGTGATGAAAAACTTCTTCTAGATAGTGTTTCCTCAACAGCTCAATGGCAGCTAAAAAATTACCATTACCATACTCGTCCAGTATGTTCGATGAACCTACACAAATATGAACATAATATTGAAATAAAGATTACAGCAAGCAGCGTAAAATTTCATACCACTTATATACCTCATTTCTTATTAACATTTTAAGCTCTGAATTGATCCCAGCCTGATTTTTTAGAGCTTCAAAGGCTGATTTCCAGACGGTGTAGTAATTTCTGTGTTAAAGATTACACTTGTGGCTTTTAATCTTTTCTCTTAGCTTTTGCCAATTATCTTATATTCCGGATAAATCTATAGCCAAAATTGTACTTTTGACCAAAAATAGAGCAGGGAAAACAAACGAAGGTTTTGTTTTTTGAGTTTCACTCCAGATAAGCCAGTCTCTGTTAATCTTTTTTCCGTTGAGAGAAGTTTTGTATGAAACGAAGCCAGAAACTTTTTTGTCTCAGGAAAAAGTGACGGATTTTGAGGTGATTCATTTAGTATGACTAGATCGCGTTCAACTTTGGATAAAGCCTCTTCCTCAAAGCGGGGTCGTTTTTAATTGCTTAATCACCCAGTTGCAACAAACTTTTAACTGCTTAATCACCAGTTGCAACAAAAATATATGTTATATTTATGCACATCTTGAAATAAAAAGATACTTTATCGATAAACATGACAGCTCCAAAGCGGGTAATAAGGCCCACTAAAAATCGGGTAATAAAAAGCAATGATTTATTACTTTACTTATAAATAGTAATTAAAAAAACAATTAAAGATTTTGAAGCATAAACGTAGAAATATAAAGAAGAAAGACAAATATAAATAAATAAATGACATTTTTTTTAAAAAAAACAAGATTTTAAGAAAAAAAAAAAAAAAAAATTTCTTCGCGGGACCCATGGACTTTGCGTACGTACAGGGTGACAACCATAAGGTGAAACACATAAAGTAAGCTATATTTTTAAATTTAAGAGTTATATTTATTCGAAAGTGGTATCAATAGAAAGCTACAAGTGTATTTAACAAGTTTTATTGGTTTAATTCGAACCTGTCGCCCTCTGCTTTTATGCAGGCTCGACATCTCTTGAAAAGGTTTTCACACGCGGCACGCACGGTTTCTTGTGGCATTTTGTCCCAAATGTCGATTAAAAGTTCCTTGAATTGGTCCAAAGTTGTTAATTTATGCTTCCCCAGTTCTTGTAGCATGTATCCCCAGACAAAGAAATCAAGGGGATTGAGGTCAGGACTTGAAGCAGGCCATTCTTTGGTATCGATAAATTCTAGGAAATTTTGCTTGCAGTAATCTTGAACAACAATAGCCTTGTGTGCAGGGGCAGAATCTTGCTGGAACACCCATGGATCATCACCATACATTTCTTTAGCCTTAGGTTTATTCAAATCTTTGATCACATTCTGTAAGTAGTACTCTTTGTTGATTTTCACCCCTCTATCGATAAATTTCAGAGGAAATTTCCCCTTTTTTGAGATGGCCCCGAATACCATGACCGCCGAAGCGTTCTGATAACGAGGGACAGTTCTAACGTTTAAAGGAACATCAGAGAGCTTTACAGCATAAACTTTGTCATTTTGTCTGTTCAACGGGCGCTCCAAAGTAAACATTTTCTCGTCCGAAAAAACAATATCTGCACCACCGTGCCGCTTCAATAGCGATTTGCAACGCTTGACTCTTTCCACCTTGTTTTTGTCAGTGAGGCCGGCAATTTTTTGTTTACGGTAGCACTTAAGTCTTAAATCTTGTTTTATAACCTTTTGCATAGAGGTATATGACATGTTCAGCTCTTTAGCTAGCTGCCGACCTGAGCGAGCAGGATTTCTTCGTAAACGTTCTCTTACCACTTTGATGATTGCTGGAGTGCGCTTGACGCGCTTTTTTTTTCTAGTTTTAGCTGGAATTGTTTGCTCAGTAGTTTTGTAACGAGAAATTGTTCGACTAATCAATGATTTGCAACTTTTATATCATTTAGGCGTCTCCAAATATCAGCTTGACTTAAATTTTTTTTGTGTAATGAAATTATCAGCTCCCTGATAGGATTTAGATCTGTATTTTTCATACAATCCCTCATTTTTTCTTCCTCAAATTTTTAAAACTTTTTCTAAACAAATGTCAAAACAAACTGTAAACAAGGGGAAAGTCATATGGTACGGGGTTAATAAATGATTGGGGTTCGAAAATGTGTTTCACCTTATGGTTGTCACCCTGTACACAACCTGAAATATCCATTAAAGTCAAAGACTGAAAATATTTGAGCTTATAGGAACGAGTAGTATTTAGTTGCCCAACATTTTCAGAAGCTGCCATAAAATACAAAATTCCTCGTAGAACTTTATGAAATCACTTGTGCACAGGATCCCAGAACTTTATGAAATCACTTGTGCACAGGATCCCAAAAGTCTTTAGGAAGAAAAACTACGCTTTCTAGTGAGTAGGAGCAAAAGTTGATATCAAGAATTTTCTAATTGTCACACATTGGCATGCCAATAACACTAAAACTCTTGAGGGCATATGTTTTTGAGTTTGTGGAAGGCGAACAATATGATTCATTGCTTCAATGTCAACGAAAAGCTGGCAGGTAGAGACTGGTCTATTATTTTTTTAAGGCGCTACCCAGTAATTAGCTGCCGAAACGCGCAATTTATGTGCCCAGTAAGAGCACAAAAAATGAATGCGTTTATTGTTAAGGACTATTTCACCAAATTAGAAAAACTAATTGCATGGCTTTTTTAATACTCCAGAAAGACTACAACATGGATGAAAAAGGAGTCAGACTTACAGTTCATCACCAGAAAGCTGTTTTAGTACAACGGGGAGCGAAGAGAGTTCATCTTGCTGCTCAAGAACATGCGGAAAATGTGTCTGTGGTTGGCTGTACCAATTCTATGGGGTGTGCTAAACCTCCAATGGTACTTTTTAAAGGTATTTGACTGAAGAATGAATTCAGTGATGATTTCTCTTGGTTTCAACTGCATTATAACGACGAAGGGGTCAATGACCATCGAATCATTTCTTTTATGGATTGACTTGTTTAATAAATATAAAACAAGCGGAGAGACTCTGTTAACTATTGATGGAGCTGCTTCCAATATCAATATTAGAATAGTTCAAAAGGCAGAAAGTTTTAGGATTCACATTTTTTGCTTACCAAGCAATACTACCCATGCACTGCAGGCTATGGATAAATCTGTCTTTAAAGCTTTTGAGTCCTATTAGGATGAAGAAGTCATGAAATATTTGAGAATATATCCAGACAGATGAATAACCAAAACTCTATTTGGAAAACTTTATATACCAGCATAGAACAAGTGCATGTCAGTTGGTAATATTACTAGTGGTTTCAGGGTTACTGGGATTTATCCTTTTAACACGAATGCCATTTCAGATACTGCTTTTTTGTGTCGCACTGTGACAGAAATTGATAATGCATCTTTTAAGATGCACATTACTGAATCTGGTTCTTTATTAACTCCAGTCATCCAACCCGGCCATTCATCAGCTTCAATCATCCGACCCGGTCCTTCAAAAACTTCAGTTGTCCGTATCAGTCCTCAGTCAGTTTCAATCATTCTACCCGGTCTCACAACAGTTTCAGTTGCCCACCCTTATCTCTCAATAGTTTCAGTCGATCAACCCAGTCCCTCAGGAGCTCCAGTCGATCAACCCAAAATGAATTTTAATGCAAGTTTTACTGATTTAATGCCGAGTCCTGCTAAAAAGAAAAATATGACTGTGGTCGGCCGTAAAAAAAGTTTTAGCTATGTTGCTTAAGCCCTGACGAAAAAGCATTTTCAATCTTTTAATCCTAAAGCTGTTAACAAAAAGAATAAGGGCAAAAGAAAAGCAAATGAAAAGAAAAGTAAGTTGTAAATGTGAATACGAATGATTGGTTTAGTTCGATGTGCCAGCAAAAGTCTGTGTAAAGTATGCAACAATGTTGTAAATGTAAAGTATGGTACCATGAGGCGTGTATGGGGTATGATTCTGAAGATCAGGAAGAGTCATGTCTATTCTGTGAAGATTAATGATTTTCATAGTAACATTTTTTTATTGATTTTTTTAATTTTCTGTTGTTATTCACTGCTGTATAAAAAAATGGATCTTTTGAAGTATATAAATATGCAAGATTATTATTTTACAAATGTGAGATAAACTATACATTAAAAGAATGTTTTTAAATTTTTTTTGTTTTTTCTTTCTTTATTTTTTGTGCTTTTTACATGGGCCTTATTACCCTCTTAGAGTGGTAATAAGACCCACTTAAGGCATGTTAAAAAAACATGAATAACTTTTTTTATAATTAATTTCTCAATATGCAGATATCATTTTTACATCAAGGAATGATTAATCTTAAGCAGCAATCGAAAATATTTTTTTAAACTTAATTTTTAAGGCCTTGATGACCAAAAGTCTATTTGATAGGCCTTAATATCCACACCTACCTTAGTAAAATAAAAATGGAAAAAAAATGTTGTAACTTACACCTGCACCGGGGCAAGTTGCAACAGTGAACGGGGTAAGTTACAATACAAAACTTTGAAAGTATAAGCCTTGCAAGTTCAAAGAAATATTACAAGGCAATCTCTAACTTTAATTTGCCAACAAAAAACTTTATAGTTACATTAAAGGAAAGTAGTATTTTCATTGATCTGCTTAAATACTTTATTATGAGAGAATTCACATACACCTGACTTGTTCCGTTAACTGATAATTGTATTTAAAGATTTCAGAGACTGAAGAAATTAAACAGGAAAAATTATTGTTTAAACTAATTTATTAATTTAACTCCAAAGTGTTTCTAAAAAAAAGTATTCTTGTTGTTATTAAACAATAAATTTGTTTAAAAAATGCAAAAGTAGGTTTTAGGTTATTTAAGTTCCGTTTAACAAGTAACAATTTATTGAAAAAAAAAAATGTTAAAAACAATTGTTAAATAAAATTTCATAAAAACGAACAAAAATTTCAATTCATAAAAGCAAACAAAAATTTCAACTCAACAGTTAGGTTTCTTAAATTTCTTAAAAAGTTTTTTGTTATTATTGAGAAAATATTAGAATACAGAAAAATCGACGTTAAAAAAAACGTCGATTACTTTAGAAATAACAAGAAAAGTGTGTAAAATCAATAAACC